ATAGCAAAACTCATATTAACTCATAAAAATAGATGTGTTTATTCGTTATATGTATGGAAGAAAACCGTAACCCCTTGTGTAACACTTCTGAGAAAAAGTTGAAAGTGGTTGAAAATTTGTTGGATTTTTTTTTAGTTTTCTACAAAGTTTTAAACTTGCGTTTACATGGGTTTAGTTAAAGAATGAACTCTGTTTAAATTGTTAATTCCAAAAAATACATAAAAAAAAACATGAATTGCATACAATATCACTTCGAAAATGGATTGCTGCTATTGATATGTCCCATACTGTATATCGATGGCTGAGTGGAAACCAGCATGATAAAAATATAGTAAGGTATAACCGTTCTCTCAATTTGTCGGCCATGATTTTTTTTTGAAGTTTGCCAACATTTTAAAATCATATAAAAGTGAAAATAAAAAAATGAAATTGTTCGAAATTGTTGTTGCTTGAGATTGAAAATGAAAATGTGTGTGTGAGTTTGTGAGTAAATTTAAAAATTAAATTGTTTGGAAACGTCAAGAATTTTAAAAGTGATTCTCAGCGGTTCTACCTTACTATATTTTTATCATGGAAACCAGTTCGAAAACGGCCTATCTCAGAACATTTTTCAACAACGCTCTATTTCAGAATTTGATTGAAGAACGCCCTATCTCATCACATTTTCATTGTATTTTCGTTTGAGATAGGGCGTCTTCGAACTGGCTGCCGAGATAGGTGGATTTTCCACTCAGGCATCGATATACTCAAATATGTATCTTTGTAGATATGTACATATGTATGTATATACATATACAAATGTATATAAAAAAAACACCTTGACCAGATGTTTTCATAAAATTAATAGGCTTAAATGCATAAATAGACATTTGGTATGTAGAAAAAGGGCGTAAGGAATAATTGCCTAATCAAAACGGGGCTACTTTACACTCAGAAGCACTAAAATAAGTCTACATACATCTACGTATAGGATAAGTAGTCGTGCCTGAACTACGGAAGCGATAAGTATATAACTTGTAAAGAGATGTATTTCCTGCATGGTTTTTTATTTATCTTTTTGAATTCTTTTTTTAAGCACAAAAGATACAAAAATATCACTAATGTGCGATTAAACGCAAAATAAATTTTATGCAGGATGTTAAATTTTTCATGGCTTCATTAGTTAGTTGCTGTGCCTAATATAAATGTATACATATAAGATTTTTGGATTTGCTTTTAACACCGCTAACAACATAAACACATAAGTGCATATGAACAGCTGTTAAAAGATATATACAATAAATAACTGTAAATTTTTATAGCAAATATTTTTTTGCGCAGATTTGTTCATAGTTTATTTTGCTTTCTCTTCATATGGTTGTTAAGTGCTAACATGTATTATTCATACATTTTTATTTTCTTATTTGAAACCCACATACTATACGCAGTTTTCACGCTTCACTTCCGACTTACTATTTAATTCACAGACTTAAGTTAAATTACGTAAAATAAATGTAATTCAAGATAAACTTTAATTATAAGAACTGCGTAAAAATTGTTGAAATATTCGTTAAAAGAATGGTAATATTGTATAAGCTGTAGCCGGGGATTTTAAATCAATGTGCGTATTCCCACCCACCTGGTTATTGGGTTATCCTCATGGCAGGTCATGTTTTTATTCAGTTTATAATAAAATACACTGAAGAATGGCAATTTTGAGCTATATATACTACAATTTTGAGCTATATACAGCAATCGATATGTAATGCAAATGATAACAGAAAACCTATATATTTGCTAATAAATTTTTTAATTAACATTATTTTCCTAAATTCGATCAACGAAAAAAAATAGTGTCAATAATACAGCACCAAGGCCAGAAAAGTTAAAAGAAACTAAGCAATTCGAATACCAATAAATGTAAAAATTATAATACATATCGTTACTTTAATAACAATACAAAAATACGTAGCTCGAAAAAATTCAAAATTCACTTTTTGCTTGATTACAATGCATCGTTTTATGCAATAAACAGTTTTAGTTAGTTGTGGCTTTTTTGCATTTCAGCGCCGATGTAAGATAGGGCCTTTCTATACTTACACGTAACGTTCTATGTACATATTGCTCAACCAAATACCCAAAAAGTTTGTTAAGTATTTGAGAATCATTACTAGGTTGCATATAAAAGTCTCATTCTTTTTTCTCATTTTCATGTTCGAGTATTCGATTTTGGTTGTACGCGCAATGCCCATAACTTAAACTTAACTTACAGCGATCGGTTACACATACATATTACTTACAAAAATATTAAAATGTGAATGAAACGTAAAAACAAACAGCTAAATTTAAGTAAAATTAATTATAAAAAAATAATAAATTTATATGTAACTATTTAGTACATAATATATGCACTGATATTCACAAAAAAAGAATAAAAAAATTATAACCAAAAAACTGGAAATTCATTTTATTAAGAACTTCAAGAATTCATTTCACTAGCTTAGAGTAAAAATTTGGTAAGTCCGTTTTTACAAACTTCAAATGAAATGAAAACAACTTCTTATTCCAAAGACGTTTACACCCACACTCCACCTCAGTCGGGTGAAATACCTGCAACGGCTGGAGTCATTTTAGGACCTACACAGGTCTTAGAACTTACTGGCAGTAGCCCCGTGCAGCAACACTCCCACCTACTGCTGCCGTAAACCCACGTGAAAACCAACAGCTCCCAGTCCTTACACTTTCTGCTCGGTGTATCAGTCCAGGATATACCGTAATGTGACATCAGTCAGGCGCAATTCCCTGCTTGGCTGGTGCCACTTTAGGGTATGTCCGGGATTGCACACCACGCACATCAAATCTTCGGCGATTTCGCCCTCTACCACCATAAAGCAGCATCCTCAACAACAGCTCATCGATCCGTCTCCCAAGGTACACAAAGATACTACAACTAAACTTTATAGGACTTCAGTTAACGGTTATAATGTGGCCTAGCTTGAAATAATTGGGGCATGCAGGAGTGGACTATCTCACCAAAGTTCAAGCACCAAAGGGAGCCTTTATTGTCACTTATGCTAACGAATGCTCGATAATGGCGTCTGGGAACGGAATTAATGACTTCTGCTCAAAAGTAAACGGTTACCTTTCGGAAGTTTTTCGGTTCTATACTGCAAGGAGCCTACAGCTCTTACCTACGAAATCCTCGGCACTAGGACGAAGAAGGTCAGACTACAGCTGAGAATTCACGTTGATGGTGAACCAATTACGACTGTGAATAACCCACAAATTTTGGAAGTTACTTTCGACAGACTGCTCTTCTTCTCGGCGCATACAACTGCAATTGTCAGTATAGAGTACAGAGTCGCAACAAGGTGCTCAAGACAATGCAATGGGTTCCAGGAACTAACAGGACGGAGTGTACGAAGCTACATACATGCCAGAATACGGCACTCCGGCACCACATTCACGACGCTTGCTTGCAGCAGGCACGTCAGAAGGAATCTATACGAACTGACGAACGAAGTCCAGAGGATCAGAAACCAAACTCTGAAGCCGACAGCATACCGACGGGCCATAGACGGCATCCACGTTGGGTAGATCTGGACTTAAACCTACTCCCGAACTGTGAATACCGTTTTAGAAATACAGCCCCCTGACGTGGACGAGACAAAACTTCGTCACACAACATACAACACCTGACGTTTACGAGCAAGTTCATGATATGAAAATTCAGAATAGGGGGAGAACTTCGTGCGCCTTGGGAGACTCGCGCCACCATAGCCCAACTTCGCTCTAAATATTCCAGCAGTTTAAACTCGTACCTGAGCAGAGCGATTGAAGATATGCCCAACGAGTGCCACATGACTGACGGCATGCCCCCAAAACCCCACCCAGCTAATGCCCCTGTCTCTACAGACACAGACCATACGGAAGTTGCGCACACCTGGGCCTTCCTTTAGCTTAGCCAGACAACAACGTTGATGGATGAGCCGACCCGAGCGGGGTTTGGTAGCCGCTGCAACAACCACAACAATAAAATGGTATTGAAACAATAGTTTTTGTTATCATACACATACATATTTTTGAACGTTTTTTATTTCAACAAGATATAAATGCGATGAATATGTTTAGCAATTTTTTGTGTTAAAAAAGTTTTCCAATAGTTTAAAAATAATAACCACTAAGAAAATCAGAAAAGTCCACCAATAAAAACTAAGCAAAAGCGTATATATTTTAAAAGTAAAAACATACATTATTGTTTGTATTGCGGAAATATTTTTAACAACTTGTGCGCGAAGGCAATGCCTTGTGCGGTGTGAAGCAATTTTTTAGTAACTATTTGGCTAAACTAATTCTATGTCGTCGTTTAAAGTACAAAACTGCATATCAAGATAATGCAAATCGCGTATGTGAGGTTGAATAAATTATTTTCTAGAGAGTAAAAATACTCGTATTTCAAAATGGTTCTCTTTTTTATAAAGCAATCGCATTTCTGGCTATTATATTCCAGGACGAATGGATAAGGATTGAGCCAAGAGATTGTGTGAGCAAATCCAATTTTTGGCAGCAAATGTCAGTTACGCAGTTTTGCAAAATGATGATACGCGGTTTTGTACTTTAAACGACGATGTATATCTTTGCATTTTAACACAGTACACCTACATATTACATGTTTGCAAATACAATAGTATTTTTATTTTATTTATATGTGAATAGGAATGTCAGTTACTGCTAGCCTTTGCATTCAATGCGTATCATTCTAAAAATAAATAATGTCTAACAACAGTAAATTGCATCCAAAATACATATATTTATATATAAGTGTCAAAAACACATCACCACGTTTTAAAAATTCCGCTAACAATGCAAGCACATATTTTTGTTAACAAGTGACGATATATTTTTAGATTCAATTCAACATTTGTCAGGTAATATGCATTTGCTCTTTCCATTAATATACATACATATTCGTATGTACTGTTTAATCATGCATCAGTGCATATCATTGCTTCAATGCTATGTGATTGTAAAATTTCTAAAATTAACTTTTAAGGATGCAATATCATCTAACGAATATAAGTGTGCCTAGTTACCATGAACTGACTATTGCATTTTGTCCGACATGAAATAGTACTCGAAAAATACATATGGGCAAATCTAAAAAAGCAGGTACGCTTTCAAAACAAAAAGTTTATTTTTTTAATTTGTGGGCACACCTATATTATAACTATATCTGACTCTCACTTGATGGCTTCAAAAGTTAGACGAGGAATAAACATTTAGATCGCTGAAATAGAAAATAAAAGAATAAGCTGGGTTCAAAATTACGCTGTGCAAGTTGTAAATTTTGAGCAAAGATTATGAAAGTTGAACTCACTTAATTGGGACGTTCTAAATTCAATGGCATCCCCCGTTTTACCAGATTTTTTAGTAAAATATCTTCAAAGCTTTTTTTATAAAATAGTTAAAATGTACGCAAAGTTTTAAGTATCGCTCTCTCGAAAAGTGGAGCCGATCAGGCTAAACTGAGTACGCTATTGAATTTAGAAGGCTCCAATTAAGTAAGAGCAGTTATCAGAACCTTTGTCGAAAAAAGTTGATTTGATACCACAAATATAATACATACTTAAAAAGTTTTTAAAATGAAAGGCTTCGAAAACTATACGCGATAAACCGAAAAATTTTAAAATTATGAAAAGTAGATTTACATACTTCTCGTTACTTGCCATTTAGTTATTTTTTAATGCACACTTTAGTTACCAACTAATATGAAGTATACACCTAAGTACTAATTGCGCTTAAAATTTCAAACCAGTATATGGTGTGCTTCAAAAGTTATGACATAATTAATTTTTCACCTCTTAAAAATTACATAAAAATTAACTTGGTTTTAATAGTTTTTTTTTTTTAAATTAAAACATCTGTAACTCAAAAGTTGTGCAACAAATTCATTACATTTTTTTTTTGAGGTTTCAAGTATACGTCTATGAATTTTATCCATAAGCAACCAGCTTGATATAGTTTACAACAATGAGAATAAGGCTAAATAACACAACGGTTACCTGTTTTTTTAGATTTGCCCATATACATATGTATTCTACTAAACAACAATAGCGTTTATAGTTTTTATACTAATTAATATAATTTCTCGAGTTGTTTTTTCTTGTGCTCAGTAGCAGCGTGATGTGCATATATGTGATGGATGTGAACGTGCGCTTTAACCCGTTCTTTTGGTTTATTGTGCAACCACCACAGTAGCCTCTACTTTTGGCAAAACGCCAAACTTTAAACGTAGTTGTTCGAGGAAAACAAATGTGAGTATGGTGTGTGGTCCTAGGCGTACAAAGGCCGGTATGTAGCCTTTGAAAAAACCAAGAGTTCCCAGACGTGCAGTAAACTTTACAATATCCCACAAACCCTTGAATTCACCCGGCTTAGCGTTCATTGAACGTGTCTTCAACACATCCAGTGGTTGTGTCAAAGTTGTCGCAATAGCACCAGCAGCCAATGAAGCAGTAAAATGTGTTGCTAAATCGTCCTTGAAGTACGGTGTGGTAAGCAGGGTGGTTTTAATCTAGCAAAAAGTGGAAAATTATTCGAAGTATACTTAATTGAAAATGTTTCTGTTTTTTTTTTGTGAAACATATGTATGTACCTGATCATAAAATGCTATTTGACCAATTGTCATGAGCACACCTCTACCGGTAGCGGTGGTAGCGCCCGAAAACAGACGTGTAAAACCTTCATGCTTATATACTTTTACTAATCCATCGAAGGCATTCTTGTAGCTGAAAATTTTTAGGAGATTATACTATATACATACATATGTATGCTTTTTTTTTCAAAGTAGAAAGAAAGCGAGGTATGAAATAAAATTGTGCCGGTGATTACTAATGTGTTTGTTAAAAAAATCGATAACGGCCAAAGTTTTTAATCACAAGGAAAATAAAAATCATGTCAACTAACTTTCTGCGCTGCTCCGGTGGCAGTTTGACATCATTTTGCATGCGTACATTCACCATATCGGCGGGGGTGCCGACAATACCGCCTACGGTGCCAGCCAACCCGGCTAAGGCGATTTTACCGAGGAATGTATCAGTATTGATTTGCTTTTTTCCTGCTTCATAAATACCGAAGCGTGTCATTGAATACGTCATTTGACGTAGGACGGAAGCAGACAACCCGTTGTAAAGTGCCAGTACACCTGAAATTGATAAAATGTAGGCATTTTCGGAAATTTAAGCGTTAAACTTAAATTAACAATTATTTATATTTTACCTTGCTCTCGTAAAACTTTCGCTGTTAGTTGCAATACCGATAATTTGCCTTGTTGCGTTTGCAGCGCAACCTTTATTAAGTCCAAAGGATGGGTACAGCAAGCGGCTCCTGCACTGGCAATACCACCAAAATACCAACGACCTTGACGTTGTGTGTTTACACTGGACATTTTGGGTTGGAATACTTACAGTTGGTATAGAAATTGGACTGAAGTGTAGATTGTGGATGGGCTGGATACAAATTTTAGCTGAAATGGATAATATAAAGAATGCATCACATTAACTATTCACTGACATCGACAATCCAAAAAACATTTATATTTTAGTAATTTCCATACACCATACAGCATTAGCACAACAACAGCACCTGTAGCCGACCTTGATGCCACCCACCCATTGAGGAGAAAAGTACTTCCGTTTTCAGCTCATTTCCTTTTCATACCTCTTAAAACCAAAATAATGTTGTACTTTAGTTGAGTATTTTTTTGGTTGCTTCCATGCTCTTCTACTGTGCGAATGCTTATGAAACTGTCACATTTGTTCAGAATTTGTCCAGCGAATATCCCAATCAACTGGAATGCCTAATCTAATCTCACCAAAAGGATGGACGATGAATAATTTTCTCACTGCTGATGATGATGCTGGTGTTGCATTTGTAAACAGTAGCCGGTACTGAGCTACTTGGGTGACGAGTGTAATATGAAATATGAGTTATACAAATTATATACAAATTTACAAACTTGACATTGAAAAGAAAATTGGCATTTTTCTTTAGTTATTTACAAGATGCAGCGAACTATCATTTTATCACCCTTGAGTTATTTAGTAATATTTTTTGCAGCAATAATTAATTTACTTGTTTTTAAAATTACTTGTTTTAAAATTGAAAAATAGCTACCGGGTATAAATTCCTGCGTATATGAGTCAGTCTGTAAAACATCTGATTATAACAAATCCGTTTGACAGCTTTCCGCAAATCGTCAATGTTGCCAGCTCACTAACTTTGTAATACAAAATTGAAGGATCCGAATCTCCAAAGAGAATGACCCAAAAATTATGTGGGCCAATTTTGCAATTTGCTTATCTGAACAGCATTATTCCAGCTAACCTTTTTTTTATTTGCCCATTCACTGACCAAAGCGTAAAGAAAATTCGAGAAAAAAATTAATAATAATATTTGGCTCCTCGCTTACATACCTGCGGACGCTTTCGTAATATTCATCCTACAAAGTTTCATACAAAGTGGCATAATTTATACAGTACTGGCAGCACTGTGTAAGGTGTTTGTGTCGAATTTGCGACTTTTGTTTAGATTTTTTATTTTGTCGATCTTGAAATGTGCAATTGGTGTAATACAGCTAGTAATAAGGACTTTCACTAAACAAGAAAACAAATTGGTAAGTAAAATAGAGCCTTTTTGTCTATGTGAATCTCTTATCATCGTCTCTGACAAAGAATCGCTGCAGTGCCGGCAGCCAGGTTGGTACTTTTATTTTAATATATGTATGTATGTATATGCATACTCGTGAAAAAATGTAAATTTTAATTTCTTATTTTACAATTAGCCATAAAAACAAGGACACTGTACAATTTAAGAGTGGGGAGACTATCAACGACAGTTTCATATTGGCGCCCATCGTAACACTATGTCCAGAAATAACTTGTGAATTTTGCCAACTATTTAAAATCCACTTTCAAGGAATTACTAAATCACTAAAAATCTACTGGCTGTTTTCTTTGATTGGCGTAGGTTGATAATCTTAGAACTCCTACAGATAAAATAGTTGGGAGTGCCTACTTACACGCGCCACGTAGATCACGGTAGAGATTTCCGTATATCCACGGTAATTTCTGAGAAAGGGTATTTACCGCGAATCTGCGGAAAAAATTACCGTGGATTCACAGTGATTTTCGAAGCGTGCGAATAACTGTATTTTTTAACAGTAGATCTACGACAAAAATTAGTGTGGAGGTTATCTATTTTTCCAACGTAAATGAACAATCCTTATTTCTCATCAGAAATCTCTGGTTCTCTTCAGGACACTTTCAGTAATAATACCCAATTGTTTATTTAACCATTTTTTAATACTAACGATTTTTTATTGGTCCGCCCATTGCATTTTTCGGGGCTTTTGTGGATTTTTGGCGGAACTCTATATTATAGTTGGGATGAAAAAATGGTTTAATAACAAATTGGGTATTATTATTGGGAATCTCCGGCAGATAAACCGAGTTTTCCGATAGAAAAATATTGATTCTTACGAATTCTATACCATTTCCATTTATACCAAAGTAGTTTTTTCCCCATACAAAATACATGGACAACTTTGGGCGCTTTGAGCGAGCTCTAAATATTCTTTAATTTCAATATAAAAAATAGGGATATATTTTTTCGGTATAGAACAATCCTAGGGGGTCAGAGCATACAAATTCCGACTTTTTTTCATTTTTCAATCACAAATGATTTTTTTTAGGATTTCTATTTTTTCACGCAGAGATAAAAATTATCGAATTCAAATAGCTACAAAAGTAGCGTATACTTTGAATACACACATTCGTAGCAATTTGGATTTAGTGATCGCATTTTCGCAATTTCACGAAAAATCGAACTACGATGGATTCTGTGATATACCCCATTATTAAGATTTATATTTACATTTAAAAATAATGGTTATTTATACAATTTAGAAGGTCCTACAGGGTCAACCAACTTAAATGTTAACCTGAAAATTTCGGACTTATTCCTTTTATTAAGGTATCGCTACCTGTGAAAAGAATACGTCGGAAATAATGCTGGTACACCTTTGGAGTTTCTTGAATAATCATTTTTCTCAACTAAAATAATTAAACTCAATAATAAATATTGTCTTTGAGCGAAAAATAAATAACATTCGAATATTAATTATAATAATATATTATTTCCTTTTTGGTTGTTGTTGTTTCCGACAAGGCGGGTGTATGATATGTTTTGGAACGAATTTCCATCATTTCAACGTTGTGCCATCTTTAGTGTAATTTTTCGAAATATGTACATCATTAATTATTATCTTTAATCTTTATTGGTTAAACTCGAAAAATAAATATCATTGTAAATTACAGTAGGAAATACAGAAATACGTCAGTATAGGTGAAACTGTTTTACGACGATTACAACTTGCTGATTTTTTTGTTAAAATCCAACAAATAATGATTATTTCTTGTCCCTGTTTCTTACTACCAAACAAGCTTACAGCTTCTACTTCCACACCTTTTCACACAAATATTCAGTGAACTGTTACAGTATATCAAAGCGCTGCACAAAGTATATCAAAGGGCTGCACTAGGCAGCATTAATTCGCCGATTCCAATAAAAATTAGAGGAACCCCCCGTTTAGGTTCCATTACTACTCCAGTGCAATCCAAGAAAAAGAAACTGGCGGTTCCATTTCTCGAAAGGACTCAACTGCGACACACACAAGAAAGTTGGCTCATTGACAACTTATGATGACTTTAGTTGATTATAGCTTTTTTAATGTTATTCCTAACATTCACGTTCGCGTTCCAAAACGAAATCGGTCAAAAATGAGTTGCAAAGTAATGTAATGGGCGACAATTACCACCGCCAATGACATCGCCATGTAAAACTGGACAGTTGGAAGCATTGCTTGGGTATTGAGCTAGAACTAGTACTCTCGGCAAAAGGTCTAGTTCTACGCTAGTTCTGAGCTAGTCAGGTTTTCTGCAGGGTACATATGTACATGATGCATCCAGTGCCGAACAGAAGTATTGGCACAGTGAATTTTCGCAATATATGCAACGTTTTTTATTCTAATTTATTTTCGATAATTTTTTATAAAAATATTGCTCATTCTACACCAGAAAACACAATAATAATAAAATCTCTAAACTTTTGGCAAAACTCAGGAAAATTCATTAAATTTGCACACTAATTTGCAACTTTTTATTAAGATGTTTTAGAAAAATTCTAAGTATGCCCATACAAATTTAGTATAACAAAGTGCAAGTTTGAAGTCGCTAGAAAATCGCATTGATTTTTTGGTAATTTTTTTTCACGCAAGTTCTTCCATACAAAGTAATTCGACAATTATTTTTTGTGTGGAGAAAATGAGTAACACCTTCCACTAAAAAATTGCCAAAAATCAACGCGATTTTCTACAAATTTTAAACTTTCATTTTGTCATACTAACATTGAATGGACTATAAAACTGCACACTTAGAATTTTTCTAAAAAAATCTGAATAAAAAGTTGCAAATTAGTGTGGAGATTTAATGAATTTTCCTGAGTTTTACACAAGTTTAGAGATTTTAATATTACGTTATCTGGTGTAAAATGAACTATATTTTTATGAAAAATTATCGGAAATAAATTGGAATAAAAAACTTTGCATATATTGCGAAAAAATCACTGTGCCAATACTTTTGTTTGCACTGTATGTAAATTCAAAACTTCAAAGCCGTTTTCCTAGAGTTTTGCGTTTTTGAATTGACACTATTGAAGTATGTCGAGCCCTAACCGCCAAAAGGGCTCAAGCGACAAAATGTTGGATTTTCTGTTTTTGACATAAATCGATTACCTACCGCCATACGCACCAGCTGATAAAATTTCAAAGTCCTACGAAGTACCGTTACAAAGTTATAGTGATAGCAATTTTGGCTTAAGTGCCGAATTGTTCTCTGTTTACATGTTGTTTTCTGCGCGCAGTGTCGGTTAAGCCTTTCTCCGGAAAAATTTTTCATTGTAGAGAGGAATCGTTACACGTTTTTGCGTGAAAGTTTTGAAGAGACTATTTGTGGTAGATTAAGATTTTTAATCAAAAGGATAAAAATGTACGAGTATATGGTGTTAAAATACTTGGTTGTTGTAGAGCCTATCTAAAGGTGCCCTTGCGCGACATCGATCCTTCTGAAGAGTTAGTTAAAGAGGAAAATTCTGTGTTCGTTTTTTGAAAAGGTTCATCCTCTGCCCTTTGAAGCTTCGTCAGGGGAGATGTTTGCCTTGAAAAGCAGAAGGTTGCTGAAAGCGACAATATTATGATATCTGTGAGCCTGACAAGGCAAAACGTGAACTTTTATAGGGTTGAATAACATCCAACATATTTTGCAACATGGAAGAACAACATTTAGGGGATTCCCTTAAGCTCGAAAGTGGCTCGAAAACCACGAAACCTCGAAACTTTTCCAGCCTCGAAAAACAACTGTCAAAAATTGTATGAGTGGCGATTTTCGCGTGCCTCGAAAACTTTCGAGGCAAATTAGTCGCGAAAAAAGCCTCGAAAAGTCGTTCGTAAGTTTCAGTGTTGCCTTTATAATTGTTGACTGCGTTTTGATCAATAAATTCATACAATTTACATTTTTCACTTTTTCGTGGCATTTTCAATGCTGATTTTATATGTATTTATTTCAGCTGATGCGATGTATTATACAAAAAACTCTGAATGAGCTGTCAAACTTCGGAATTTCTCCATTGTTTACGAGGCTGAAAAAAGGTGCATTCCCAAAAACAGCCTCGAAAACTTTCGAGGTTTTCGAGTTTTCTGCTCTTCGCGTTTAAGGGAATCCCCTAATTGTTTTTGGACAAGCGAAATCTCAATTATCGAAATACTATTTTAATCAATA